TGCGTTATGAGAGGAGAAAACGAAGACAACGGTTGACGAGTGGGAAAAAAGCGAGGTTCGTCGGAGTCAGCTTTGCACTTGGGATGTTCTCACAGCATCTGTGCGCACCTTGAGCAATCTATGCTATCCCGCACTGCAGACATTGCGGTTGCACAAAGCGGCGGGTGGCAACAGGGAGGACCAGTACGAGAAGTGAGGTACCAAACAAAAGCATGAGAATTCAAGACTCGACTCTACGCATGACTCTCATGCACCTTCGTACTGGTCCTCCCTGTTGCCACCCGGCGCTCTGTGCAACAGCATTGTCTCCATGGACTCAGTCCCTGTTTGGCAGGTGTCTTGGCTGATGGGCCATTCCTAGCCTTCATTCGTGGAGGCTTGAGCCCGTGCTCGCAGTCGACGCAGACAGAGTGCTGCAGGAAGTTGTACGCTCAGGCCTGTCAGTCGGCGGGATAACAAAACATTATCATCTCATCTGCCGCTCACAAACGAAGAGCACCACGAACTCAGGCTTGCGCAGAGCGAAAGGACCGACTGCACATATTCCATGCTGATAAAAGTTCTCAGCATGCTTGTCCAGCCAAAGCGCACTGTGATCAAAACTTGTGCGACCGCCCACCTCAGAGCCCGAGAATCACTCCCTGACAATGGAGGCCACTTCACGCAGCACGCACCCATGGCCAAGCACCTGTAGCCAACTCGCAGACAATTGCCCATTGATCAGGTGAGTGTGTTAAAACAGGGACCACGTCGCGAAGTCCTGGCCACGTTGCTGGCCCCATCCATCACTGGGGACCTACAGGACCCTCTCCAGCCCGTCCAGCAGTCATCAACCCCTTGATCAGTGCCCCCACTGCTCCAGGTGTCAGAACCCATCAAGCATCACACCAAATGGAAGACTGACTTGGGCAGAACAGGTGCAGACCACCCGAAAGCACAATGGCAGAGTGGCGTTGAGCACAGTGCGAAACGAGGGCAACCGAAACGCCATGGAGGGGAGAACAACTGCAACAATCGCAGTGAGTTTCCTACAGCATTCCATCATGGGATTGCTGTTGACTACATGCAAAGTTGCTGAGTCATCCTGACATTGACGAAAGGGTTAGTGCTAGTTCAGGGAGGGGGGGGTCTGAGCACACAGTTACAATGACCACAAGGGTACCAAATTGGGAATTGTGCCTTCCCGTGAACTGGGAAAACCACCACTGACGCGTTGTACATTGAAGAATCAAATTTTCGCCATCGTGTCAAAACACATGCCGTTGTGGCAATCAACCAACTCCCACTTTCCCAACAACAACGTTTGCATGGACACACTATGTGATGCAGAGCCAATATAAAGGGGAACGAATGCTGCTGGTCATCACGACGTGCCTTCAAGAATGCACCACCTCTGACTGTGCTGCCAAAGCACCTGCTTCGTTTGCCACGCTGTCAGCCCTCTGAGTTCATCCATTTCTCCATTTCCTTCAGGTGCAGCTGCAGGACCTTGACCTTCTCAGCGACAATGTAGCTCTTGGCAAGAGACGGATAGATGGTCACCTCGAAGTCACGAGGCCCGTGGTGTTTCTCCACAGCGCTCACCACGGTTTGTTGGGCATTCTGGAGGAAACGACAAGATGTACTTTTGAAATCTGCTTTCAGAGCGGGCGGTAAAACATGACAAGGAGTGTCGCAAACGCAATGGGGGCACCTCTGGGCGTCAGTTTGGTGTGGACTCAGGAACTAAAATAGCAGTCTGTGTGTCAGTTCCCTTGGTTGGTTGCGATGTGATGGTCAGCACATCCACAGGGGCTTGTTAGGAATTCAAGGATGCTGGCAGACCGAAATGCAGAGCAGGGTCATAATGGTAATCACAACAGCTGCCTAACACAGCTGCCTGGAATGATCTTTTCATAGTTTTGCAAGGGTGATTGTGCTAGGAGGTGGCCAGTACTTGCTAATGCACTTTGCCTGCCGAAGTGACCACTTGTTCTGCTTTATGCACCGTTGGGTCACAACGAGGCAAAGTCTGATTAGGCTTTGGGTTGGTCCCGTATAAAGGAAGTAGGTTCCAGTCATCTTAGCATGCTGGCATGTCCTGTAACCTTGCTCACATAAGGATTAACCATGTCCATCTGCACATGCCCATTTGAGGGTAGCAGCCCCAAATCTGCAAGGCCTATGCATCGAATTACAAAGAGCCAAGCACTTACACAGAGCACAGTTGACAACACGCCCGTTTCGTTCACTGTGGGAGACTGCTTGGCAAACTACACAATTCATGTCCATGTTGCCCAATGTGTCAGGCCAACCAAACAGCAGAGCTGAACCCAATTTCTGGGATGGCTGGGGCTGTCATTCAGTCACTCGTTCATTCCAAACACAAGTTGCCAGACACAACATCCCTCAACAGCAGTACAGCACAGTGCTTGCATTGTATTGCTATCAAGAACAGGGAGGCCATATCATCTCTCTTTTCGATTCCTTCAAAGCAGGGAACTAAAGTCCTCAAGGGAACAACACAACGACTCTGTACATTATGCCAGTCATATCACCAAGGTTGGTGCAGGGGGTTTGTGTGCCATTTTGCTGCAATGGATGCCTAGTACAAGTATTCCAATGCTCTCTGCACACTTCTCCGCACCTGTACATTGTTCATGAACTCATTGCAGATCTTGTATGCCTTTTGCTTGTCCGCTTCACCCACCTTCGCCAGCTCCTCCACAAGATCTGCACTGAGATCGACACAGGAAAGCACACTCTGAACAAGCACCAACAACACATCCGTCAGCAGACAATTTGCTGCCAACTGCTCTAATTTTGTAAAAACTATTGTTTGCACTGTGCCCTCTCGCTTTCTGCTAGGTGACTTGCACACTATAGTTTACAGCACGTACATCAGTGTCAGGTACACTGTTCCTCAGCACGGTTCATTATTCTCACATTTGGCTATGTTCAGAGCCCCCCGCATCCCCTTCAGTGGCAGGGTGCAGCTTGTGAGACAGAGGAGGGCTAGTCCTTGCATGATCTTATTGTGTTTGTGGATGCCAGTCATGGCAAGCAAGGCAGAAACAAAACTGACCATGGGATTTCTGTCCGCTACAATAATCCTGGATTGCTGGGTTCTGGGAATAAACATGGATGAAATGTGTGTGCTGTTGTCAGTTTATGCATTTCAAAATGTAGGCTTCAAGTCGCTGGGCTCACCGCCTGGAACAGAGCTTTTGTTCACAAGGGTGGAATGCTCTGCGTGTGTCGAGTGCGAGGCTTGAATTAACGCGACGCCACAAGAAGGGCGCCAATGAAGCACTTAAAGCACGGCTGAAAAAGTTGCCATCGTGTAAAGAATGAGGCACTTCAGGGAAGCAAATCAGGATTCATGCCGCCAAATGAGTCAGAGGTGCGCAAAAAGAGCGCGGGAGAAGCCCTCGTCTGAACGCAACACTTTGAGCGAGCGCCCCAGGCCAGCAGCAACACCCATCGCCCCAAACCTGAGGGACTCCTCAAACACTCGAAACTTGCCGATGTCGCCCAGTTGATCCTGGGCCTGAATTTACTTCTTGCATGGTTGCAACATCTTGACTCCAAACTTGCACAGCGACTGAAGATCCGGAACAAAGACGGCCCCGCCCCAGCGGCACCGGTGCTTCCCTTCCCGCCCAGTAGAGGGCTCCGGAGGGCCCCGGAACGCAGGGAAAAATTCTCCAGCAACAGGACGCCGAGCCTGACAGATATTCCGATATCCCCATATCCCTCAGGCATTTCACACCCATTGCGAACCGTACGCGCCCTTCCGCATACCATCCCATACCCACGCGCATTTTTCTCGCGAGATGCACTGTTCGGACAGGAAGGCGCCTCCCAAGACAACGGCGCTTGTCGGCGTGATGGTGGCGACCACAACACGTTGGTGGCAGGCAAAAGGTCGATTGTTCGTTTCCACACGCTGATGGTCAATCTGCGCATAAGCTTGCGCGGTGGATTGCACACCTTTTCTATTTTGAGAAGGTCCTGGAAGCCCGCGGACAGCGCTGTCTTGTTGCTGGCCTGGTCGCCGGCCCTGTCGAGCACCTCCGCAGCCATGGCCCACCAAGAGCGTTCTGGTGGTGTGGTGGGCCACCTTGTGGGGGAATTAAGTACTGCGGCGCCAGAAATGCTACCTTGTTGGTGAACGTTTTCTATTTTGGGGGGCGCTTCAGAAGAATTTGTAATTTGGAGAAAGCAAAGTGAGTAGTTTCGGGCGGACCAGCAGGAAAGAGAATTTATCGGCAGCGAAGAGAGAGAGGCGACACGGACATGGCGCTATCCGCCAAGGAAAAAGTTGGCAATTTTGTGCCACAATTTTTGTTGCGCACAACTTCTACTAAAGCACAACATTTATATACTTCAATAAAACGCTCAAACCATGGTTCTTGATGGTTTAAAGAAATCATCAACGATCTAAGTTACAATATGTCGAAACTACTAAAGATTGATCCTGAGCCAATCAATGGAGCCGATGTCCGACCCGTTGTAGATAGGCGAGAGAAACGGAGTGTAGATTTCCTGTTTGGCAGTGTTTGTGAGTTTTCCTATCACAGTCCGTGTGTGGTCTGTGAGGTATGAAGGCTTGGCAAACTGGAACTCAAAGTCATTACAACAACACCAGAACACAACAATAACACTGGGCAAACCAGGGCAACTCGTTTCAACAACATTGTTCAACCCTTGCAGCACGAGACAAAAAATGGACACAATCGTCCAGCCGTTCATTGTATGTTCATCTCCACCTCACGTCCTGCAAATTATGTCTCAACAGCAAAAGGCACAGTTCGCTTCCTGTTCATACATGGACTTGTGCATTACTTTCTAAGTTCACTAGTTTTTGGTGTGGCCCCTTGACAAAAGACCACCACATGCCACATACAACAGCGCTGGCAACCAAATCCTACTGCCATTGCTGAGATAAGTTGCCACGCGACAATGAGCGAAAACGAATGCAGTTGAGTACCCCTTCACAGGGGATCGTTTCTGAGGTATCAATTGATGACAACAAGCCGTGACTCATCCCCACACAAGAGGCATGAGCAGAAATCTACGAATGCGTCTGTAGTGCACATGGTGAAGAACAACAAAGACTGGTGTGGAGAGTCTTCATGAAAGTGTGGACATTGGGCAAGTGGGTTGGTGAGACAATTCAAGGAATTCTCCTGCAAATAATCAACCAAGCCAAGCACAGTGCCACAATATGTAAAGCACAAACACAAACACCACAACAACAAGCACAATGCACATAATGAGACAAAATGCACAACAGTCACATGGGCGACCTGTTTTGCAGCCATGGAGAGTAATATGGCTTGTAACAAAATAGAAACAGGCCAGGCACACAGTGCAATCCACATTTCAGCAAAACTTTTGGCAGTCAGCTTTCATGCCACTATAGGCGATGTCCAAGGTTCTGTACACAGAATTCTTTTTCATGTTTTCCTACATTTTCTACTGTGCACAGGAGGAAAGCCCACAACACAGTGCAAGGTGAAGGGCACACACGAAGGCCAAGCCTGATCTGCTTTGTAGCCAATGTCACCTTACAGAAGGCAGATGATCTTCAGAGGTGGACATGCTGCTGGCGAAACCTAAGGAGGGAACTTGCAATGGGAAGACACTGATGCAACAGAAAAGCATCAGTGCAAGCGGGCTCAAAACAGTTGGACCACAATTGTAGTTGCTGGCCGGGCGGTCGCAGTTCAAAGCCAGATGCAGTCGGGAAGATGCAGGCACCGGCCTGCTGCCCCACTTCAAGGAAAAAGGGTGTGATGCTGGTGCAGGACGCTGATGCTGTCCCATCACGGGAATATGCCACTGGGATGGAGATGGTGATATCCAGATGCAGCCCAGCTGGTCACACGCACACAAGCATCAGCCGTTGCGCACAACACCACCCCAACAACAAGCATGCAACAATAAGATTGGGCTTCACATGCCCAATTCTGTGCACGAAGGTAGACAATCCCTGGTATCAGCATGATGCCTCCATGCAATTGATGTAATAAAAGAAGAGTGCATGCGAAAACAGAACACACAGGCAGGTAAATACAAGCCTTGCTTTGAAGCCAGCCAACTTACTCGCTGACCTGGGCCTATCAAAAGGACATGCAATCAAAAAAAAGGCAACGCACGAACGGAGCTCGCAGGCACCGAATGCACGCATGTTTCTGTTCACGACTTTGTTCATTCTTTCCAGACTGTGCTCAGAGCGGTCCTGTGGCGATCGTCACGAGAATTTGCCCTCAAAGAGAGTCGGGCCGAGCGCCTCCGGCGTGAAAGCCCAAGAACACCAGCAAAGAAAACACGGCGGCAGTGATCTGATTCTCCCCGATCTCTGCTGTTCCCCCGCGGCCAAAAACGTCGCGCAACAGGAAACCTCAACACCTCTCCAACAAAAACGTCCGATCGTCCAGCTCCATCGGGCACCAGCGCACTCTCGATCCAAAGGGACTCCGCACCGCACCGCCGCTTGACTCGCCCCCTTCCACCACAAATGCTCCACAGCCGCGTTTCATGCCCCGGCCCATCGATGCGCAGTCCAAGCCACCTCCAACTCAGCCCACTCCCGCGCAGTCGACCGCACCCCCTTTCGCGCATCCTCCACCGCGGCTCACCCGCCGATCTCCTCTCAACTTCCAGAGGCAAAATTGCGCCAAGGACTTACTTTACCGTTCTCCCATATTCCCTCATTCAATGCCAAACTTGCACAAAGGACAACACCGATCTTCGTTTTATCTTTCCAAGGCACGTTTCCGCAAAGGACCTCACCGATCTTCGCTTTATCTTTCCAAGGCAATCTCGCACAAAGAAGGTCACCAATCTCCTGCCGCCCTTTGCCCAGCCTCCGCTGATATAAACCCTGCAGCTCCCCTCTTCGCCGTGCGGCGCTCACACGTTCCTAAACTGCGGGTGCTCCGCGATCGGCACCCATCCGTAGGGCTGCCCGTACGGCCCCCCCGCCCAAACCGGGCGGTACTGCACCCCCTGAGAGGCCCCCGCCCGGACCCCGGCCCACCCCGGGCGCGTTTGACGCGCCCAGGCCGGCCGACGCCCCCCAGAGCTGGATCCCGCCATTGGGGCGAAACAGCGACGGCGTCTTACAAAGGTCCACAAACATCCGGAGTGAAGTCGAGTCGCAGCCCACAGCTAGTCAGGCCTTTCTGGCAGAAACCAGCAAACGTACGCAATCCAGTGATGGACAGGATGCCACACATAATTTCACATAGACGCTGGTCTGCAGCGCCATCATACCCCTCACACCGCGCCCTACATGGTGCTTGGCCCATACACGGGCAGTCCTCAGCCCAGCCGCCTCTCATCCGGGCGAGTGCGACTGAAAGTAGGACCAAGCACGTTCCATAAGATTCCAACGAATGTGTCCACAATCAAAGAAGAGGGGAAATTAGCCAAGCGATCACAACATGCAGCCACAAGCGCCTCTCTTGGCTGGAATTCTCTTGTCCCAGCAAATCTAAAAGAATCCATTTTCCATGCCTCCTTTCCCCCCGCCAGCCTCGTGTTTGATGCAGAGCATGTGGTTAATGCAAGCACTACTTTCGCGCCAATCCGTGCGCTGTCTTGTCGCCCGGGCGCGACCCTGCCTTGGGCATGATCACTGGGAATATATCCACGCCGTGCCCCAGAGTGCCCTTGAATTCTTTGCCAATCGGTGTCTGCTTTCTGAGAACGCCACAATGGCGCGTCGATGGCCGGACTGTTGTCATGCAGCTCACAATAGCCCTGCAGTAGGCACGTACTGCTGTGAATTGGTGAGAGCCCTGACCGTAGAATAGGAGCAACACTATTGTGCAGCCCTGTGACCAAGTGAGCAACAAGTGAGCAAACCAACTTCCCTCCCAGAGTGCTGCCTGTGCTCGCCCTTCTTGGATTCGCACATGCCAGGCATGTCAGTGGAGTCGCGGTACAAGAACTGTGAAGGGAAGTCGACAGAAAGTCGGGGGAAAGAGGACCGCAAATCTCAGCTAGTATTCATCAACATTGGGAAGGAGAAAATTCGTAAATTGTCTGTACTAGCTTGAAGCGATAAATTTGCAACCCGTAGACCTGATCAAAGACACAAATTCTCCCCTAGAATACAGATGAAAAGTAGCACGTGCAGGAAAATGCCCGTGCAGGTGATTCATCGTACAATATTAGAAATTAGATTGGAGTCACGCAAGCCAAAGTTGGGGCGCCACACCATTTAGTACATTTGGCTCTGTCACCTCAGCGTAGGCCCCAAATTATGGGACCTGTCTGTGTTACTGGCCACCAGCTTACTCAGAAGTTTGTTGACTTTCTGCACGCTCTCTTGGTGACCACCCATAACTGGAGAGTTCCCTTGGAAGGGTTCACAGTATAGAGATACGGTCAGCATACCAAGCGGGAAGCACTGTTCAAGCAAAGTTAATTCGCTGGCAGCCCCACCTGCCAGTTCTGCAACAATCCTGGCAATGGTCTCCCGTCTCATCTCACCCGTCTCATCTCGATTTCCGTCTCGTCTCTTCTCTCATCGTGGCGATCGCATTCTTGTCTGGCTTGTCCAAAAATGACCAAAGGAACCCTCAATCGATGTATTATGTGTGCTCATCCTTATTGCATTGCTCACAGGGCAGGCGCGTCAATAAAAAAGCCAAATGGAAGGAAAGAGGATGGAAAACATCAATAGAATTTTAAGAATTTGGAAAAGCATGCCAATTCCATGTTCCATCTTTTTTCAATCGAAACAATAAATTTTGAGCCAATACACCTGATCAAAGGGACAAAATTTAATTTATGTACCATATACAAGACAAATAGCCGGTGCAGGAGAGTACCCGCGCAGTGCTTCGCCGTTCAATAGCACAGAGCAAACTGCACGTAAGTCAAGATTGGGGCAACCTTACCTTCAGTCGAATCGGCAACGCCGCCACAGGCCATTGCCCAAAATACAGGAGTTGTCAGTTTGCTGATCAGAGTGATACCCTCTAATCCATCCAGATCTCTTGAAAACCTGCACCTTCTCTTGGTTGCCACTCATCATCGGTAGGCTCCCTTGGAACAGCGCACAATATCGAAATACGGTCCATGCCCAAAGCGGTGAGCATTGTTCCATCAAACATGATTCGCTGGCAGCCACGCCTGCTAGTTCTGCAGCAATCTCTGACCTGATCCCGTAACTCTGTTCTCAGCCTGGTCACATCATTCTTGTTCTTGTGCAATCCTGTCTGAAAATGACCATATCAAACCCACATTCAAGGTGTTGTGTGTGCCCATCCTTCTTGCATTGTTCACATGCACGTCAGTGCAATCTTAGTAAAGTAACTGGAAAATGAGAGATGGAAACGCTCAACTAATAGTTATCAATGTTGAAAGGCACGCAGATCCGAAGCATTGCTTCTATTCAATTGAAATTATAATTTCCAACCCACGCACTACACCAAAGACAAAAATTTTCACCAAAGAACCATTTAGAAGATGAAGAGCAGGTGTGCATGGACAACGCCTGCGCAGTTGCTTCGATGTTCAATCACGTACTGTAAGGCAGACAAACACAAGTCAGGATTGTTGCCCCCTACCGCTCGCTCGATTTTGTAACTTTGGAATCGGCCAGGGTCAGGGGCCCAAATTTGGGACGTTTCTGAAGAGCTGATCACGAAGGCACCCTCCGTCCATCCAGATCCTTCAGCAGCCTATTGAATGGCAGCACCCGCTCCCTGGAGCCATTTTCCACTGGAAAGTGGCATTGCAACCGGGTATAGTGTTCAGATCTGGTCCAGGCCCTAACCGGAGAGCATTGCTCAAGCCAAGACAATCTCTGGCAGCCCCGCCTGCCAGTTCTGTAGCACACTTTGCAATGATATACTGGCTTGTTTCTTAGCGCGTTGACCACACCCCTGTGGATCCCTGTAAAAAAGCGGCAAAATCAACCCTCACCCAGCGTGCTGTGTGTGATCATTGTTCATATAGTCTGACACGTCAGGGAATTCAGTTGAGCTTCAGTAACGAAGCTGTGAAAAATGCGGCTGAAAAGCCTCACCTGAGCTCTTCAACGTCAGAAGCCAGGTAAACTCGCGACATTGCCTATGTTCAACTGTGAATGTAATCTTGCAGCCATTGAACTTGATCACAGCCACAAACTTTCGTAAATGTGCCAATGAGAAGAATAGCAAGTGGAGTAAAATGTATGAGCACGCTCTTCATCATTCGGCAACGGACAGCACAGTGACTCACGGAGCTCAAGGTTGAGGCAGCCTCCAGTCGATTTGCCTAATGTATATTAGCGCAGCCTCCAAATTAGGGGACTTTTTGGTGGTACTGATCAACATTGATGACCACATTCCTGTGTGGCTCTGCCAACGACCCATAGAATTGA